AACTAAGTAACTTTCAAGAGGATATCCTTTATCATCTTACAGATGTGAAAGATTTTAGTAATAGATTTTCTATTACTGAAGTCGTATGGAATAGAAAAAGGTTGGATCAAAAAAAGAGCATTGAATTGAGACTTGACCAAAATCCTGATGTATGGCAAATATAGGAATATTGATCTGTAGTCACCAGGGTCAACCTTCTTTTTGTGCAAAAGCACGTTGTGGAGTCCTGTAGCTCAGTGGTTAGAGCACTCACCTTGCAAGCGAGAGACCTGGGTTTGATTCCCAGGCAGGGCAAAATGTTGGGTAAGTTTATTCCACACGCCTCTGTTTACCTAGCAGTAAATAGGAACCCGGTTATTAGTTGATTGGTGGATCGCTTTTCTGGGGTTCATAATCCCTCAAGAAAAAAACCCCAATAATAATTTGGTCACTCAATCTATGACTGTTTGTGCGCAATTGGCTGCCACATTTCGCCCACAAATATACAGTCAATTCACTTTATAGTCTATTCTGTGCTTTGAGACATCTAGAAGACGTAAAAAGCACTATATCAAATGCAAGGATTATTATTATTGTCTATTGCTTTTAACGCAGGTGGGGTGTCACCTATTGACAGGATCAGCTGAAATGCATAATTCTATCGATAGGAATTTGAGAACTTCAAAACCTATGCTCTCCATTTCTTGGAAACACAAACTTGTGGCAGTTACAAATAAAGTCTCTACAGGAATACTGTACAGCCTTTTGAGGCTTGACGTAATAAAGCACTATTTCAAATACAATGCTGTTTATTTAACGTCTGAAATAAACTGACATTCCAACAGTTTTCACTTAACACTTGCTGTGCGTGCTTCATAAGAACTCACTGATCATAGGCTACCTCTGGAATCCAAGATCAGTGAATTCTTATGAAGCATGCATAAATATTTTGGAGAAGATCAGCGAATTCTGAATAGCATACATTTCTTTCTAATTGCCAAAATACTTTGTTTTATAGTGTTCAAAAGTGTATTAATAATTATTTGTACATGAAGTAAACAGTCAGTGTCAAAGTGCAGATTGCTCAAACATATTTGGGAAATTACTATTACTGATCTGGAAACTCTTCAAGCTGATACTGAATGATATAATTGAAAAGTTCATTATTTCACAGCAACGAGTTTTCATTTGTGCAAATTGATATTTTTTTTAAAATGCAGTTTTTTAAAAAAAATTATTGTTTTTGCAATTTATTCTACATATCAGTGTGCGTGCATATAGAACTTTTTTCTCTTGTCTCCGTTGAAGCTCATTAATTTTGTATTGCGTTTTCTGAATTGCTGCACTTGCAGATACAGTCCATTTACTTGCACATTATCAAGACCTCATTATTTTGAACATATGGTTCTTCTTCACTATTCATATTAAAGCCTATCCCAAGTATCGAACAAATGAGCTCTAGTAGCCAAATGAGAACAATACATGCTCCAGGCACTAAGTTTGTGACTGTCTGTGCAACTATCCCTTCCTACACTGCATGAAAGGCTTCTCTGGTTGGCAGCCAGAATCTATTCTTAACCGAAGATGGCAAGTGAAAGAACATAATGAGGAACACTGCACAATGTTGGTCCACATCCCTCTGAATACTTTCCTTGCCGTGATGGAGTACAAGAGATGCGCTATCATCTGCATAGGCCCCAAGCTTTTCATCGATTTACATCAGGCCTTGACCCACACATGCAAGCATAAATAAATAAAAATACCTCCACTCTGTTTCAATAAAGAAACTACTTGTTGGCAGATAGAAAAAGTAATGCAAGCAGTCTCAAACACAAATGTATTACAGAAAGGACACACACCCAGTACTTAGTACAATGCAAAGAATATTAGTTTTCTACATTATTCACTGAATAAACTAAGCCAGCTTCTGCTTGGGACAAGAAACTGGAAGCAATGTCTTCATGCTAGCAAGACTAATCCATCAGCATAATAACAAAGTATCAATCAATCAATTCCACATGGTCCATACAGTTGCAGTGCACTCCTAAACAAAATGACCCCCAAGCATTTTGTTCTGTGTGATGGTAATCAGACGCTTTGCAGAATGAGTCTCCTCAATGGATCTTAAGTAGATCTTGAGGATCTTAAATTGTAGATCAGCTCATTTAGAAGCCATCAACCTCGCACCCTAGCAGAAGCATTTTCGTAGTCATTAATTGGCAAAGATTATGTGACAGAGAGCAGTGTCAGCAACATTTCCAAAGTATCACAACAAACGGTCTGTCACTGCTGCAGGTAAAGGATTAGTAATGCACTTTGAAAGGTATTTTTTTTGTGGCGTCCTGTAGCTCAGTGGTTAGAGCACTCGCCTCGCAAGTGAGAGACCTGGGTTTAATTCCTGGCAGAGCGAAACCTTGGGCAAGTTTGCTTACTCCACACACCTGATCATAATCCCTCAAGAAAAAATAATAAATTGGTCACGTCAATCCACTACTGTGCACAATTGGCTGCCACGTTTCACCCACAAATATACACTGAATTCACTTTACAGTCTGTTCTGTGAAGCACTTTGAGACTTCTAGAAGACGTGAAAAGCACTATATCAAATGCAAGGATTATTATTTTATGTGAAAAGGCACTATATCGGAGTCCTGTAGCTCAGTGGTTAGAGCACTCGCCTTGCAAGCGAGACACCTGGGTTCAATTCCAGGCAGAGGGCGAAACCTTGGGCAAGTTTCCTTACTCCATACGCTTAATAATACTCCCTCCCAAATTTTTTTTAAAAATAATAAATTGGTCATTTTCAATCTCCGACTGTTAGGGGACATTGCTGTGCGCAATTGGCTGCCGCGTTCGCCCACAAATATACAGTCAATTCACTTTACAGCATATTCTGTGAAGCGCTTTCAGACATCTAGAAGACATGAAAAGCGCTATATCAAATGCAAGGATTATTATTATTATATAAAAATAGATTATGATAAATTATCATTATAAATTATAAAATGTTGCTGGTGTATTTTGGTGTTCCCAGTTGATTTGGAGGAAACACCGCTGTCATTAGCTACCAAAGCTGAAAGTAGCTGTATCTGGGTTCCAAGTCTTGGAAGGGCAGACCAGGCACTGGGGACAGGGATTCTTCTCACTCGGCTTTTGTTAAACCTGTATGTCAAAGCCCTAACAGGCAGGGTGGTCCTAACTGGACAAGTATCAGGAACGCTTGCCAGACAGTGCTTTTAATAGCAAGCAATGCTGTTTTATCTGTTTTGACTCCAGCTGTACCCCAAAGCACATTTCGGGGTCCCCAAGGCTTAGCTTTTACCAACCTACACCTACTAATCTCCTGAATTATATAAGGATACATTCCTTCAGTGAGAGAGAGGAAGAGAGTGTGCATTCCATTCCAATAAATATCTTGGGAATTTTCACGTATAGGTGGGATGCATGGAACTCAACAACCACAAATTACATTTGTATAGAGCCTTTCATGTCAGGAGGACATCCCAAGGCGCTGGCACATTGCTTAAGAGTATCCAATCACTCAGTTTGGTTTGGATACTCTTAAGCAAAATGTTGGGTTAACCATTGTGGTATGCTTAAGTTTTGGACATTGATACCCACAAAAACAAGTTTCTACACAAATAAAATACACATCAACAATTGAAGACTGCCAGACCAGTATGCAACAATCACGTCAGGCAAGGTCTAACGTTTGCCAGCCCCGATAATCCTATCAATTAACATATTTCTCATTCAGATAGTTGAGTTGGAACACAGCAACCATTAAAACCTTATGTGCACTGATGCAATGTACCACTTTTGCTTGCTTCTTCCTCTTCCCCACCAAATGCAACACTTCTTTTGCTTACTCAAAAATAGCACTCTGCATGCCAGTGAAGTGAACATCTCTCAACAACCAATGTGCTTTACTCAGAAATGCTTTACGTTTTTCTGGATTATCCTATCAAAATCAAGATTGGCATTGAAATTTACAGTAAGTTATACAATATTAGTTTTAGAGCTGCTATTTTTCAGGTTAAAAAACTAAATTATTGGTTGATTTTTAGCTTTTCTTTAAGCTAAATAAAACGGGGTTTCAAGGCTTTCATTTACTTGGCATAAAATTTGCATGCACCCACGCACACATAGAGGAGAGACAGGTGCATTCACACATGTGCTCACGCAGGTGAATCTGGTGATGAGTTTGTGAAGAGGGAGGCACTGCACATACCTCCCTCTGCGTGTATGGGATTTTGGGTGTCTCCTTCCTCTCACAAACACATCACCAGATGCTGCCTGCGTACATAGAGGGGAGAGGGAGAAAGAGCAAAGCACACATAATTGGCGTCAGGACAGGTAACTATTTACAGGGTTTGCAGTGTTTATTGATGAACGCAAATTATTATTTTTGTATCGAGGTGTTTTGTCGGGGCGGGGGGGGGGATTTTGGGTATAACCAGAATTGAGAAGCCCTAATTATAGTCTCATTGAACACATTGTACTCAAAACTATCAACACACAACAAAGAATTTGAAGTTTAAAGATGTAAGCAAATTAAAGACTCAATCCGACATTAAAAGCAAATGCTATTCACACTGGTGTCTCATTTTATCTAACAACCTGAAAGCCAGCAGAGTAGAGTACCTTCATCGCTCCTTTGATTTTCTCCATTAATTTCTCAATCTCTACATTGTACATGAAGTTTATGAAGGCCTTTATGCTATGACAAAAACAAAAATCCATTTGTACGCACGTTTGAATTTCCACACATGGTTATTAGGGATGTGTATTTTATATTCCTAGTAACCTTACACGCACCTTTACATATTTATTTGACTGTATCCAGCAACTCCATATCCACTTCCACATAAATGCACATGAAGATAATTATCATTTGGACAACTGCCAATTCACTGTATTTGATATTTTACATGTGTATTGATGACATTTGATTGATTATATTTCACTTATGCAATACCCAACTTTCCTACAAAACAAGAGGACATTGGCCCACAACTTACCTGAGCATAGTCCTTTTCAATTGCAGCTCTCTTCTGACTAAAAGTCCTGAAAGAGAACAAAGAAGCAAATCCAATGAGAAAAATTATACCGTAAATTTGTGATGCATTTGAACTGGATAACAGTATACAAAGGCAAGGATTTTTATTATTATAACTATCTTGTAATTCAATAATAGTTGATAGTTGGCCATCCTGTCATGTTCATCATTGGATGATTTGGATGTGAAGATACAACAATGCAACCCAAACCCATAACAGGTAGGGTCATCCTGGTTGAAGACAATAATAATGAAAATAAAAATCCTTGCATTTTATACAACAGCAACAAAATTACATTTGAAAAGCGCCTTTCACATCGGGAGGACATCCCAAGACGGTGGACAGACAGAGTTATGGACCCGAGCTGGGGTGGGGGAGGGTGGAGGGCAGGGGGGCATGGAGATCAAAAGCACGGTTGAAGAGGAGGGTCTTGAGATGGGTCTTGATGGTGGCAAGGGAGGGGGCGAGGCGGAGGGACTGCAGGATGGAATTCCAGAGAGTGGGGGCAGAGTGGCAGAAGGCAGAGTGGCAGAAGGTCTGCCCGCCAATAGTAGGGAGAGCAAGGCAGGGGGGTGTGAAGCAGGCTGGAGCCCGCTGAGCGGAGGGAGTGAGCAAGATGGTAGGGGTTTAGAGGTCGCAGAGGTAGGGGGGAGCAAGACCGTGGAGGGTTTTGAAGGTGAGGACCAGGATCTTGAATGGGTCACAGAGCCTGGTGCCGGAAAGGACGGGGCTGCAGAGTTCTGGATGATCCGCAGCCTCTGGAGGGAGAAGTTGGGACAAACAGGGAGCTTGCATAGTCAAACCTCGATGTAATGAAAGCATGTATGAGGGTTTTAGCGGCCTGCGGTGTGAGACAGTATCGAAGCCGGGCGACGTTGCGGAGGTGGGAGAAGGCAGAACGGGTCATGGTGCAGATGTGGAGCAGAAAGGATATTTGAGGGTCAAACAAGGTTCTGGACTGGCTTAACAAAGTGGAGTGTGCAACCGTGGATGGTGATGCTGTCAGAGCCGAAGTGAGGAGGCACTGACGGGAGCCAATCAGGAGAGCCTCGGTCTGTTGATGTTCAACTGAAGAAAGTTAGTTCTCATCCAGGACTTGATGTCCGACAGACATTCTATCAGCACAGAAGTGGGTCCTGGAGTCGAGGGTAGAGGCAGAGAGGTAGAGTTGGGTGTCATCCTTATACATGTCATAGTTGACCCCATGTCTGTGGATGATGTCACCAAGAGGGAGTATATAGATATTGAAGAGGAGGGGACCAAGGACAGAGCCCTGAGGAAAGCCACACGAGACGATCCGGGGGCTAGAGGAGAAGCTGTTTGAGGAGATGAAGTGCAGGCGGTGTGAGAGGTACAATCTGAACCAGTCAAGGACAGAGCCGTGGAGGTTGAGGTGAGAGAGGTGGTAGATGAGGATAGAGTGGTCAACGGTGTCGAAAGCAGCAGAGAGGTCAAGGAGGACGAGGAGGCATAGGGAGCCCTGGTCGCAGATGGCCAGAATGTCATTTGTCACTTTGACCAGGACAGTTTCTGTGCCGTGAGCATCACAGAAACCAGATTGGAGGGGTTCGAGAAGGGAGTGGCGGGAGAGGAAGGAGCAACAGTGCCTCACTGTATCGTTGAGATGTCTCAAAACGCTTCACAGAATATACTATAAAGTAATTTGACTGTATATTTTGTGGGCAAACGCAGCAGTCAATTGCGCACAGCAATGTCATCAGATTAAATGATCCAATTATTATTTTTTATGAAGAATTATTACCCCTGGAAAGCGATCCGCCAATCGACTAACAACTGGGTTCCTACTTACTGCTGGGTAAATAGAGGTGTGTTGAGTAAGGAAATTTGCCTAAGGGTTCACCCTGCCAGGGAAAAGAACCCGGATCCTCTTGTTTGCGAGGTGAGTGCTCTAACCAATACACTAATAATAATAATAATCCTTGAATTTGATATAGCGCTTTTCACGTCTTCTAGACGTCTCAAAGCACTTCACAGAATATACGGTAAAGTGAACTGACTGCATTTTTTTGTGGGCAAATCGTAGCAGCCAATTGTGCACAGCAGTATCCCACAAACAGTCGTGGATTGGGCAAGTTATTATTGTTTTTTTTCATGAGGGATTATTATCAGGAGTGTAGAGTAAGGAAACTTACCCAAGGTTTCGCTCTGCCGGGAATCGAACCCAGGTCTCTCGCTTGTGAGGCGAGTGCTTTAATCACTGAGCTATAGACCTCCAGTTAGGATTGTTGTGTTACACAGTTACCAAGGTCTTTAATGGCAAAAAAAAATTATACTGGACTGTAAGGCTTTACATCAATATATTTTCTCCCAATGCCTAGCACAGAATCAGACGAGAGCATTTGGTATACTGAGAACATTACATCCTTACTAACATGTTTTGATGTCAAGTTCCATTCTACATTCAAGCAAATTGCACAAAATTGAATGAGTCAAGTGTTTCACATGACAATAATTCAATTTAAACCCTCAGACATCCATTTACTGTTGTTCATATCAGGATTTAAATGAATTTAACTGCTGACATTGTTTTATTAGACTGTTAATTATGGAACATGGGACCTCATGAGATACTATGGGTGTGCTGTTGGATCTTCTGGAATAATTAGCCACTGTGAATATACAAAAAATCACTATATTACATGAAGAATGACTTATAAGACATGCATTCTAAACATATGCTTCTAAACATTCTAAATATCCAATGCCTTGGGATATCCTCCCGACGTGAAAGGCGATTTATAAATGTAATTTTTGTTGTTGTAAACATTGGGATCCATTGGAAGTTAATAGGGGTCATTGATTTCCAATAGAAAGGCAACTTAAACAAAATGCCCTTATCATTTTTTTAAAAAAAATCTAAAATAATCTTTGCATTTGGTATGTCAGGACGACATCTCAAAAAAAACTTCACAGGATTCATTGTAAAGAGTAGTGACAGTGTATTTATTCGTGGCAGCCAATTCTCATGCAACCAACATCCCATAAGCAGTTATGAAGTGAATAATCAATTTTTTTGGGGGGGGATTGTTGGCCAGGAAACTGGGAGAAACTCTTTTCGAATAGTGTCATGGGATTTTTAATGTCTATTATTAAATCCCTTCAAAAAAAATAATAATTTGGTCACTCAATCCATGACTCTTTGTGGGACTCTGCTGTGTGCAATTGGCTGCCGCGTATCTCCCACAAAATATACAGTGAATTCACTTTACAGTATATTCTGTGAAGCGCTTGAAAATGTCTCAAAGACGTGATAAAGCGCTATATCAAATGCAAGCATTATTATAATGTCTACCTGATCAAGCAGAGGGAACCTCTCTGAAGGATGGCACCTCTGATAATGCAGCACTTCCCTTAGTTCTACTTCAAAACAGATCATTGCAACAATCTAATTTCATTGTGTACAACGTGGAGTGATGCAGAAGCCCTTTCCACTCTATCGGACCCAGTTACAAGTTGACCAGTTACAGTGCCACTCTATTACACCAGTTACAAGTTGGAATTTGACAGATTCTAACCATTACCTCATAACGGCTTCCTACTCTATTTCAATTAAATTAATTTTGTGCCCATATTTCTATGTATCCATTCCTTACATACTTTACTGATAAGGTAACGGCTAGTGTTCATTGCCAATGCGGATTCCACCTGTATTAATCTGTTAAATCGTTACACAAATTATGAGATAACAATTTTTGTTTTTTTTAGCTCGTACCAGTACCAATTATGCATTTTGCCCACTCCCACATAAAGCAGTTGGATTATAATGTTCTACAGCACATAACCTTGCAGTACGCTTTACATTTATACAGCACCTTTCACGCCAGCCATCATAAAGCACTGCTGGCTGAGCACCCAAGCTAGAGTAGGAGCCGAAGAGGCGGCGGAGGGGAAATGATCATCAAAAATACAGTCAAAGAGGTACGTTTTGAGACCGGCCTTAAACAAAGTGAGGGAGCGAGCAATTCGGAAGGCCTCCAGGATAGTTTCAGCAGACAGGGGCAGAATGACTGAAGAACCACCTGCCAACAGTGGGGCGGGGCAGGGCACATAGAGAATATTTACATCATTCACTATCTAAAATCTAAAATGAATAAATTCACTATTCAAATAATAGGAGCAGTGGTTGAGGCAGAATATATATCAACTTTCAAATGGGAACTAGATAAATACCTAAAAAGGAGTAAACCGCAGGGGTGTAGGGAAAGAAAGGGCAATTAAATGGGACTAAAAAGGATTCCTCTTAAAAGAGCCAGCGCGGCCACTTCTTCTGTGCTGTGAATTTCTATGGTTCTGGCACACCTTTCAACAATAGCAACCAGATGCAAAAATCAGGTCTAATTTATTCCCACTCTTATCCATGGGATCTGAGGCCAATTACAGCATCCAATTTACTACCATGTCTGAGATAAGCTAATTGGGCACAGCTGAACCTTCTGGATGCAATACATAGTTAAAAGGTCATCAAATCCTTCACCATCAAAATAATTATTATTAACATTTATCATTATAGTCACCATTATTGAGCTTTTCAATTGGATTATATGCGTGTAACATCCCCATCCATCCAGTATCCTCGATCCATTCAGTTTTGTGCTCTTTCCAAATTACATTGCACATCATTACAGAATGCAACCCAATCACAAAAATCTGCAGCATCAGCAATCATTGCAACATAATAGATGTGTTACTATAGACTGCAGAGATCAGTGCTTAATCACATAGGTGGTGCCTAACTTAGAATGTACCATCATCAGTTTATATTAAAAAAAAGCTGAATCTCCAAATTTTAGGACAATTTTATTAACGGTCTATTAGAACGTTCATGCCTTAGTGAGCCTGGATGAAATTTGTGCAATTATAATTCATTTATTTTTAACCATCATCCTAAATGCACAGTGCCACATATAATGCAAGCATTACAGCAGTGGATATTCTTGTGGCAACTATAGAACAATAGTTTTAAATAACAAAACTATTACAGGTATG